ATCATGACACATTTGGCATTTGGCAGGTGCCTTGATTCTTCCTGGGATTCTGGGTTAGCAAGTGGCACTGGGTTGTCCCTGGAACCAATGGGGATCGTACCCCAGGTCCAGTGAGCCCTCTGTAAGCACCGTAACGTGATGGGAAGGCTGGTGAGAACCTCGGGTAGGGGTGTGACAGCCAGGGCTGGAAATTCTGTTCTGTGCGGTCTTCTACAGGGAATTAGAGTCGAAATCTGCCGTGTGCAGACAAGTCACGTCTGATGCTGGGAACAATGACGAATGTTGACTAATGTGACTGATTGATTAATTTATGTATTTTTTGCCAAAGATCCTTCATGTCTTAAGGCAATACCATCAACATGGTTTTTTCTTAAGGATTTTATGATAACCAGGTTTTCACTGAATCTCAAATTAACATGAACCTGGAACAATTAATAACCCAAGAGATTTCTTGACTTACCTCCAAGAAGTGCTAACAAGACGCAGAAATGCAAGGACGTTGACATTGGTGTTGATGCGGAAGCAGGTGAGGGATACAAATGCAAAGGAAGAGTTTGGGGAAGGGGAAGAGAACAGAGCAGGAGGCCCAACACAGCACCCGCCCATCCTCCGTGTGGGCTGGAACCTAAACCTGCCTGCGGAAAGAGGTGTCCACAGAGGAACTAGTAGAGTCCCGGGAAAGAGCGGGTCAGGGACCAGCAGCCAGCCAGCAGTCTACAGAAACACTTGCAGAAAGTCTCGTGTCCATGCCAGTGGTGAGGCAACAGGGCCAATAAAGAGAAAAATGACGGTTTCTAGGCTCCTGCTTTCATCACTGTGAGTCTGCACTGTTTCCATGTCATTACTGACCATAGAGGCATCCAGAAACTGCGTCCCTGAACGTCTCATCGAGGCTGTTGGGACTGCGTTTCCCCTGGAGGCTTTCAAGCCCTGAGAGGTCTTTCTTGGTTCCCCACTCAAAGTGGACACTCCTCCTGGGGTTTGGTACTCAGAGGCACTGCTCTAGCCCCTATGTTACCCCATCCTACACCTGTCACCCCATCTGTTGGGTCCTCCTGTCACAGGCAGCCCCTTAGCATTGACCCGGAGAGAAAGGCTGGACCTTAATTTGTTTCCCGCCTGTTCGTTGAAAAACCTGCTACATTCTCTTGACCCGGTGATCATGGGTGGTCCCAGGTGACCTGGTGATCCTTTGTGTCTCAGGCGACCTGGTGATCCTCTGTGTCCCAGGTGACCGGGTGATCACCCGTGGTTCCAGGTTTGCTGCTCCCTTAATCTCAGCAGGCAGACCCTCCTTTGAATCCCACTGTCCTGGAGATGAGAAGAGTGGAGAGCAGTCACTCAGTAATTGTTTAATAAGTTCAGCTGAAGCTGGTTGACTTGGCTTGTACTGCTTCCAGCGCATGAGGCAGTGATCGCAAAGGCAGTCTTGCTGGGAGAAGCGCCCTGGGGCAAGTGCCCTACTGGCTCCACTTTACCCTTTGGGGCGGGTTGTAGACACGACAGGTTGTCGCCCCACCGATCCCGGTTCTCTGGTTTACTGCAGAGGCAGGAACTCTTTCCCGGGCTTGTGCTTGTGACTGCGCTCATACCCGTCCTGCGGTTGCTTTCGAGATCATTCCCTCCCGTGCCCCAGTGGGTGTGCGCCCTTCCCGATGCCCTCACCGTGCGTCTGTTCCCCAACCCCCAGGGCGAGTCTCCTCTGCAGATTCAGCAAAGGCACTTCAAAGCCGCACTTACCTTCCAGTGGGCTCTGATTTAGAAAGTTCTCGCTGCGGAACTGCGTGTTTCTTGCGCGATCCCGTAGCATAAACAGTGAAAAAAAAAAAGTCTTAAATCAGTGTCACGGAGGGAAAATCCAGCCACATGAATACGTAAATAGCTTAACCCGTTTCTTCTAACTTTCCCCCGGCTTACACCCTCGCGTTCTGAGCGAAGTATAGACCGTGTTTTTGACGCATTTGCCCCAGACCTACTACCTGTGCTCTGTACAGGATCGCGCGGGCGCCCTCCGTGACTTCCTCCCGCATGTCCTTGCGCGTGGGCACACAGCGCCACGTTGTCAAGACACAGACATGGGGACCCCCGGCACTCTGAGGTCCCTCGGTGTCTGATTTCTCTCTAAATTTGGCAAATTACCTTTTATCTTAACTAGTTTGAAGACCCTCTACCAAGTTCTTTTAATAAACAGTGAATTCTTTAAAAGAGGGCTGTTTTGTTTTCCTTTAACAGGGTTTGTTTGTCAAAGCAAACAGCCCAGGTAGAAGCTCATTGTCCTCCGTGCACTGTCTTCCTCGGAAGATAACTGCTGTTAGAGGGGAGAAGGGGGAGAAACGTGTGTCGAGTGCGTGTTCTCTTCTTTCTGACAAAGGAAAGCTCCCCTGTTCGTTCTGCACCATGAAATTATCAGGAATTATGGTCCAATTCCAAATGCCAGAACTCTGGGCCTTCTTTCTTTTATTGTAAGATGTAGACGCCATCTCTCTCCTTAGAGAAAATGATGACTGCAGTGTCTTACCGTAAGCAATCTTGGGGTTTTGGGAGACGCAAATAGACCCTCCTTCCAGGCCGGACTGAGGGATCGGTGTGGCCTTCGGGCAGGGCCGGTCCTGGGCTCTCGGTTCACCTGTGCTCGGTCTCCCATCTCTGTCTGTCTCTGTTAGTCTCTGTTCCTCTGTCTGTGTTTCTGTCTGTCTTTCTCTGTTTCTTTCTCAATTTTTCTCTATCTCTCTGTCTCTGCTCTCTCTGTCTGTCTGTCTCTGAATGTCTCTCTGTCTCCCATCTCTGTCTGTCTGTCTTTTTGTACCCCCGTCTGTCCCCCATCTGTCTCTTTGTCTCTCATTCGCATGACGCTGCCCTGTGGGGGCCGGGCTGTGCGTGTGACAGGAGCTTTGCAGGAGGAGCGAGGTGCGCGGGCAAGCTCCGGGGAACTGGAGGCTGCGCTTTGGCGGACGCGCTCCCCGAGTTTCCCTGCTATGAGGTGTCGGCACAGCCCAGGAGCTCGGTGGCCCCGGGCTGCACCTCTGAGCTGGAAAGTTCGAGCACATTTGGACAAAGAGAAAAAAACTGGGCCGTAAAACTCCACGGAGACAGAATTCCATCAAAAGATTGTATGGGCTTGCCTCGCCCATTTTTGAATCAAAGAACAACGTTCCGCACAACGTGAGAAAGCAGTGACCTGTCTCCACGTGTCTCTCGGCTGAAGTGGGCCCCAGCAAGTTAGAACAGCGCGTCCCGCCGTGGCCCCAGGCCCCACGCGGGAAGACCCCGCTGCCTCCTGCCGCTGGCACCTGTCTCCCGGCTGGAGCCTTCGTCCGGACATCGGGCACAGGACCACCTTCCCCAGCCCCCGCTGATGCTCTGGGACGTCCGAGCCGCGCCTTCCTAGCCCTGGTGCACTCAGCCCTTCCCTCCCAGGACCCCCACCGGGCGCGCCAGACCCTGCCCTACTCCCTATGGGGTCCGCCCCCGCTCGGGTCCTCCCTCCTCCACGTTCTGTCTCCGCATCAGCTCTGGGTTACTCTGGAAACAGTGCCGGCGAGGACCCCAGAGCCTTCGGGGGAAGCACGGGACCTTTTAAAGAACGACGTATTGAGGGGGGCGTGGACTGAGGGCAGCACCGGGTGTGGTGCGTAAACAAGGAATCTTGGAGCACTGAGAGCATAAAATAAAATAAAATAAACCCAGAAAAACAAAACAAAAACAAAAAAAGAAAAAAAGGGGAGTGAAGTATCTAAAATTTGAGAATTTCCTTCTTTTCTCGTCCTGAAGAGGGAACAAGTGGTCGGGACTCTCTACCTCCATAAATATCGCCGGGACGAACGATGCCAAAAAAACCTGTTCAGTGCGCACAGTACTCAGAGGCCCAGCCGCCCCCACGCAGTACGCGGTCATAGCCACAGTTCTGGGCACTCGGGGGGCTCTGTCGGTGAAGCCTTTGCCTTCGGCTCGGGTCGTGAACCTGGGGTCCTGGGGTGGAGCCTCACATTGGGCCACTGCCCAGAAGGGAGTCTGCTTCTCCCTGTGACCCTGCTGCTCCCGCGGCTGTGCTTTCTCTGTCTCAAATAAATAAAATTAAAAAACAATAGCCACAGCTCTCAGTTTCCTACTTTCTCCTTCCTTGCTTTCCCTTAACGAATTGCTAATGCTCCAGAAGTCAGAGAAAACCCCGTGGGGCAGGGGGTACACCAGGGTCCAAAAAGTGGGTGGAGATTCTGTTTACCCCATGTACAAAGCCTCCCGAGTGCCGCCTTCCTGCTCGCTGCTCTGCCGGTGAGATGGGGGACCAGACAGGTCAGACTGGAATTGTCCTCCGAGGGTGGGGGAGGGGGCAGACGGGCCCCTGGGAGACATGGCTGGACCTGCTGGGTCGTGTTAGGGTACCAGAGTGCCAGGGCAAGCACAGGGACCCTGGAGCGGGCGACGGGAGCATGGCGGCGCAGAGGGGCTGTGGACGGTCCTGGGGGCTCCCTCATGTGGTCCTGCACTCGCGGGCGCCTGCAGTGCCAGGTGAGGGCAGGCCCCGCCATTGGTGTCCACGTAACGCTGGCTGGTGTGCGCACGTGTGTGGTGCTGTTGGCCATGTCACGGCAATCCGCGGCCTCCCCCGGCCTGGCATCTGTGCAGAAGACGGCCAGCTAGTTCCAGTAAGGACCCAAGAAGGGGTTACCTGCCACCCCTTCCCCTCTTGACTCACGGGAGCAACTTCTGGGGGGCGGCAAGACGCGGCATGTGTGGGAGGGGACTCGCCAGTGAATTCACGACCGAGAGCGCGAACGTTGAGGGTCAAGCAGAGCTCCTGCGCGTCCGAGCTGTGTGCAGCCCTTAGCGCGGCTGGCTCGAGGGTCTGGCGGCCCAGGGCTCGGGGCTTCAGGGACCGCCGCTGTGTTTTGGGCCTCGCTCGGCCGATGTGCGTGGCCCCGAGCACACTTCTGTTTTCTGCGACTCTGCGGGACGCCTCTTTACGTCTCTCTGGCTTCTTGTTTTTTCCCTCCCCCAAGTTCCTGCGAGTCGATCAAGATAAAGACAAGGACTGCAGCCTGGACTGCGGGGGCTCCCTGCAGAAGCCCCTGTGCGCGTCGGATGGCAGGACCTTCCTGTCCCGCTGCGAGTTCCAGCGCGCCAAGTGCAGAGACCCTCAGCTGGAGATCGCGCATCGAGGAAACTGCAGAGGTAAGGGGGCGGTGGCCAGTAGCATGGACGGCCACACACGTTGTTTTCACCTTTTGCTAATTTTTATACGCAAAGGCTGAAAGGTTTTCAGTTTGTGGGACTTTTTCGTAGTGTATAGGAAGAGTAATTTCTGTGACTCCCAGGAGCAGAGGCATTTTTGAAGCTGTTTAATGCTCTTTCCTTGGTGTATTTGACCAGGACACGTGCTGCTCTGAGTGTCCCCGGGGGCCGTCCGGCTTCCTTGCATCCTTGTTTCTCCTTCCAGCTCGCGGGACCCACGCAGCACCTGCGCCCGCTGTCCGTGACTGTCCTTCCCATTGACGTTTCACGCGTAATTTCTGATTGTCCTGATTCAAGAATCAGATTTCGGTGTAACCAGCACAAACACCGAAATCCTTCCTATGTTAATGAAGGGTTTGACTCGGCAAAATACGCTGATGTTTCCGCACAAACAGTTGCGTTCAAAAGGGATTTACCTTCTTTTTATTGCTCAGAACCTTCCCTTCTTGGGCAATGGCAGGAGCTTTGGAACACAGCCCTTGGGGACAGAGCCAGAGGCACTGACGTGGAGGAAAGAATGTGGCACATTTGGTCCATTGTCCTGTGTGGGAGTATGGTGGGGTCAGGCTGCAGACTCTTCTAAGGACCCAGACATGGGCCCCCTGGGCAAGGCTCCCATGCCAAGGAAGAGCATGAGGTCAGCCTGGCTTGGGTGAGGGCTCAGTGCCCCTTGACCTTGCCCTGCGGTTCCCGGACCTTAAGCGAGCCCTGGCCAACAGCCTTGCCTGCCAAGGAAAGTACACCCCAAGTGGTCAGGCCGGGGCTGCAGCCAGCGAGTCCCTCTTCATCTCTAACCATGCCTACTAAGCGGAGGTGTCCTAAGGCTACCCCCTCAACACTCCAGCCCCTGCCCCCTCCACCCTCACTCTTGAAGAGGGGGGCCTCAGCAGGGCTCCAGGCTGCTCTTTCCCATCACTTTAAGAGTACAGCCGCTTCTGAGACGCGGTTCTGCTCCGTCTCCGTGTTGGCCCGGCAGGCCCTCAGCAAGGTGGAACTCCCTCGGCCACAGCGCGCCGGGTCTCGGCTCCAAGCCTGGCCACGTTCTGAATCACCTGCTTGTCCTTCCCTCGTGAGACAATCGCGGTATCCGAGGTGAACACGTTCTGGCCATTTCTGCACATGACTAAGTCGGCACCTTGCCTCCTCCTGCGGAGCCCCCTCCTCGGCCCCACGGGAGAGCTCTGCCCGCAGACCCAGGCTCCCACGGTGACCAGCACCGGCGTCCACGCTGGGGCTGTGGGCTCGCCCGGGACGGGTCCTGTCCACAGGCACCGCTAACCCTAACCTGGGTGTTGCCCATAACCGGCAGTCACATGTTCACGAGGGCTTTCTTTCCACCATCGTGCTTTGTTCAGAGTCCAAGTGTTTTAGACCCTTAGCATTTAAAAGCCCCAGAGGGGCCCTAGTGTGAGCCGAGGTGCGTGGGAGGTCCTCTGGCCAGAGACGCTGGAAAGTCCTCTCTGTGAGGGGACAGCAGAGCACTGCCCACTGAGTCCCTTTCTTACCCTGTGGTTGGGTGCTGCTGCCCGAGTGGGAACCGTAGAGAAGTTGTGTCTCCTTTTTGTGCAGGGAGCCATGCCCCCAGCGCTGAGGCCGAGCAGACACACGAGGACGGGGGACACGAGAGGGGGACCGCCCTAAGGAGCACTGGACTGGGGGGGGGGCTCTGCTCTTACTTAGTGGGAAATGGGAAGCCCCGGGGATTTGAGGCAGAAGAGGGACGGGTGCACGCTGACTTGTGCTGAGACGGTGCCCCTCGCCGCACCACGCCCCCTGCCTCCCTCGTGGCTGCGCCGGTCCTTGGCCTGGGCGCACAGGCTCTGGGCATCCGCTGGGTTGGCCCTGGCAAACCTCCCCCGGACCTGCCCCTGGAGGGACGCTCGAGGTGAAGGGAGCAGCTGCTGCTGGCAGGAAATGTGGCTTTAATTCCGTTTCAGTAAGTTACTGCGTTTATGAAAATGCGATGAACAAAGTATTTGATTTTACTTGAAAGGAAGGCTCTGCAGTGGGGGGTGGGGTCGCACTGGGGGGTTGTACCCGGTCCGAGGACACTGGGGGTCTGAGGCCACCACCCACCCACGGGGCGCACAGGAAGGCTCTTCTTCCAGTGCCGGCCCCGCGGACAGCAGCATTCTCAGGAGAGAGCTGTAATTTCCGTGAACAAACCCTATACGATTTATAAGTTAAATTTTACTTCATTCGCAAATATAGTTTTAGAATGTTGAAGCACAGATAGGAAACATCTTTCATAGAAGAATGCCATGAAAGGTGAGATAATTCAAATTAGTGGCATTTGAAATTATGTCGCGGAGTCACATATAAACGCGCACGTACCTCCCACAGTGAAAACTACCTCGAAAGGGCACGCGTGGAGGCAGACGCTGGGTTCTTGGGGCAGCCAGGACTCGCCTTGCCTCTCTTTGTGGGATGGAAGGAAGCAACGCATATCTTTATAAAAAGAGTTTTGTAGATGAAAAATGGTTCTTTCTCCTTAAATATCCTTCCCCAGTTGTAGAAAACAGAACATAATTTATCAAATCCCATCCATCCGGGATCCCAGGGTTCGGCATGGTCCTCGAACCTGTTTTCCCAGTGGCCCTTAGGTTTCGGCGACCTTTGCTGTTTCTGATTCCTTTGGAGAAAACAGACATGAAGGACATCAGATGGTCTTGACGGAGACCCGGACACACGCGAAACCTTTGTTTCTCAAGCGAATGGTCGATATTCCTGAAGCAGCTTTGCTCTGTCTGGCTCTAAAGTCACCGCTCAGCGCCTGCTGAGCTGTTCTGGGATTCTGGTCACTCGGTGCCCGGGCGCCGCAGACACGCGGCGGCTGGGCTCCCACCGCCGCAGCGAGCGAGCTCCCCAACAGCACGAGGCCGATCGATGCTCTGGTTTCCCGGTGTGCACGTGAGTTCTGTCTACACTACCCTGCGGTCTACAAGTGTGTAAAAGCATTGCGTCTGAGAAAACACACGCATCTCACTTACAGAACATGTCGGTGCTGAAGGATGACAGCCCTCATCTGAGCTTTTGGTAACGCGTGTGACCACAGACGCCACATGTCATAACCACGAGAAGGACTGAGATGTTGCGCAAAGCACCAAAACGTGGCTCAGAGACAGGAAGCGAACACGTGTTGCTGGAAACACGGTGCTGGCTGACTTCTCAGTGCTGGTTTGCCACGAGCCTTGGGCGGAAGCGTATCTGGGAAGTGTGATGAAGGGAAGCGAGGCAAGTCTGCACCAGGACACTTGGGAAACCAGCGCTCCTTGCTATGAGTGGCTCCCTGAAGAGTCACCGGGATGAGAATGAGTGGGCTTTGCCTATAAGGTGACCTCCTGGCCCTCGCCCTGCGCTTGATTGACTTCTGGTTCCGCGGCACCCAGGGCCTCTGTAAGAACTTGCGGGTCATGACAACATCGTCTAGGCTGAGGACAGCCTCCTCCCTGCTCTACGATGGCCCGTGTGAGACTGTCCAGAACCCCAGAGGCTCTGGCCCCCAGCTTTCCTCTGACGATCTCTCATTTGGGTTTCAGAGACCTGTAGTGACTGGACAGCTCACACCTCACAAGGCAAAGTGACACAAGGGTCTCCTGGGCCCAGAGGGCAGCTCACCCCTCACGGGGACCATGAAAACAGGACGCCCAAAGCCTCCCAAACTGAACCCCCAACACTAGAAATTTGTTATTGTGCCTTCGACAAAGACTGAGTTAGCCCAGATATTTGGAGATGAAACAGTCTTCGAAGAAGCAATGTTTAGACCCCAGGACTCCTGCATGTCAGGAACCACGGTTCCTGCGTTGTTCAACGTCGTTTTCTACACAAATCGCCCGTGGCGTTCTCACACACTTTACTGGGAAGGACAGGGGCCCCGATGGGTGTCCAGGGACTAAAATGATTTGCATTTTTCTGGATCTGTCTCCTGGGGCAAGGGAAACAGAAGCCAAAATGAGCTATTGGGATTTCCTCAAAATAAAAAGCTTCTGCACAGCGAAGGAAACAGTCAATATAGCTAAAGGCAACTTACAGAATGGGAGATAACATTCGCAAATGACATGCCCAATAAGGGGTTAGTTCCCAAATGTACAAAGAACTTGCACAACTTAAACCCAAACCCCCAAATAATCCAGTTAAAAATGGGCAGAAGACACGAACAGACATTTCTCGAAAGAAGACAAAGGGCCAACACATGAGCAGATGCTCAACATTGTTGATCATCAGGGAAATGAAATGAAATCAAACCACGGAGAGATCTCCCCTCGCACTGTCAGGACGGCTAAAATCAACAAGACAGGAAACAGCAGGTGTTTGTGAGGACGCGGAGAACGGGGAGCCCTTGCGCACTGCTGGTGGGAGCGCAGGCTGGTGCGGCCACTCTGGAGAACAGCCCGGGGGTCCTCAGGAAGTTGAACAGAGCTGCCCTATGGCCCAGCAATCGCACTCCTGGTGTTCACCCCCCAAAATACAGAAGCACTAATTTGACGGGATATGTGCACCTGATGTTTGTAGTAACAATGTCCACGATCGCCAGACTCTGGGAGCCACCCAAGTGTCCACAGACGTGTGTGTGTGTGTGTGTGTGTGTGTGCGTGTGCGCGCACACGGCAGAACGTTACTCTGACATAAAGGCGAATGGAATCTTGCCGTTTGCAGCGACACGGATGCAGCTCGAGGGGATCACGTGGAGTGAAATCGGTCGGTCAGAGAAAGGCAAATACTGTACGATCTCACTCATGTAAGGAAGCCAGGAAACAAGATAAATGAGCGAAGTAAAGTTTGTGAGAGAGAAACCAAGAAGCAGGCCCGAAACCACACAGAGTGCACAGATGGGGACCAGAGGGCAGGGCCGGGGGGACGGGGAGCAGGGGTGAGGACGCGGGGTGCGCGGACGCCGATGGGCAGAGTGATGTGCGGAATTGCTGGACTCGCCCACGCGC